CAATATTTATCTTGAGCAATTAGCCTTTGCTGCCAATTGCAATGTCTCTCTCTCTTCTTCAAGTTTCACTAATTTTTGTTCAAGATTGATTATGTGTTGTTTACTCTCACTTATTTCTCTTAGATACTTCTCATTTAAGTCGGAAGATCGATTGTACAGAGATAATATAGTGTCATGGTCTTTTAATGTAGTTTCAAAAGAAAATATGGTCGTCTGCAGATTAGAGATTTTATATTTGAGACTCACGAGTTCAGTAGCAAATTGTTGACATGAACATGAGTGAACCGGTCTGGTATTTATAACTTGGACGCCATTTACTTTGTCCCTGTTTATCTGGCTAGAGTTGTCGGTCATAGCTGTGTTACTCTCGAAATTTGTCTTTTGCAAGTGCTTCTGCCAGTATATAACTTTCGCTAGCACTAGAAAGATTCTCTATAAATGCTTGATTATCATTCAAGTCAGAATCTGTCGTAATTTGAAGTGTTATTGTACTATTCAAGTCGAAACGTCTTCGATCGACTCATCTTTATTTGCAGAGAAACTATCTTCACTCAGTCGCTGATTTTTTGCTGTTTTCTATAGCAATATGTTCTCAAGTTTCTTACCTTCATCTCCTTGTATTAAGATTGAACCTGAGTTGGTATAGTACCTGATAATAGCGCTTCCCGATGTTTCTTTGAATAATTTCAAATGCCTGCCAGGCGATGACCATTGTCCTTTTAGCTGTAAGCTTGTTTCGACGAAATTTTTAAGACAATCGAAGCTTCTCATCCACTTTAGTTTCCCTTTTTCAAAAGTGATCGATTTATTATCAAGCTGAAGTTTTGCAAGGTTGTTTAGGAAGTCGTCCGATGAGATATTAACATTTTCCTCTGCTGCACAATTGGACATGTTGTCTGCCATGTTGTCCGCCAGTAGGCAGTTTTCACATGCATCACTAATGACTGACAACACATAGCGACATATATAACAACCACATATTTGATAAACATTTATTTTTTATGGCAAAATATATTACAACTGTTCTAAAAGTTTTTTTCTCCACAAGTTCTTGATAAGCTTTCTTATGATCTGCTTCACATAATACATGTAACGACAAAACGTTTCAGCTACTGACTTGAGCGGGTCTTCTAATCTCCAATGAAACAAATAGTTCAGTATACATTGTAGTTCGTGGTTCTCAGTGTTCTGATATAGTTCCATCAATGAATCGACAAACGTAGAATCTGCATCTTTTTCCATTTGTTGTAAATGTTTGAATACATATCTGTCAACTGCCAGTTTTAGTACCCTCATTGCATCAGCGATTTCATTCCAAACCATACGCTTACCATTCACTCGTTCGATCGCTTGTAAACCATACATTTGCCATTGTTGATTTTCATTGATCATGAGGCAGTCATGTTGTTTTTGACTAGGATGACCGACTTGATAACCATTACAGGATTCCACACAAAATCTTTCAACTTCTTGTGCAACTGCATTCACATATATTCCTTCCAATAAATTGTAAGACGTGGTTTTACCATGTAGACACGTCATACCTGATGTAGAACTAAGCGCTGTCAAATGCAGAACTATGCTTATTACAAGACGCTTGTCAATTTTATACAGACGCTCATTAAATCAAGCAACCAATCATAGTAAGCCAATCTTATTCCCTCTATTGTATCACACACATGGAAGGACGCTAAAAAATGCCTACTCAGCAAGTTTTGTCTGAACATGCCCGTGTGACGTCATTACTTGCCTAAACTGGCCTGTGTGACGTCATTGCATATATTAAGTGAACACACTCCACATAAGATCCATGCCTCAAGCCACCTCATTCTATGCTAATGATGATGCACCATCACCACAGTCTATGCTAATGATGATGCGCCACCATCACACCACCACCGCAAAAATCCGGGTCTAACGGCCTGTCTGATAGTAAATTGTAATCATGTCAGAATGTACTTTGTGTTTTATAGAGCTGGTACCAGCCAAGTTTTGAAGGATGCTAATGCTATAATATAAGACTTGATGGTCCTAGCACATCTAATAGTACATCTATTTCTTCACAGTGATAGTATTTGTAAAATCACTTAATTTATTTCTGGAAAAATACCCTGGAAATCCCATGAAAAGATAAATTTTCATGGCAAGGGTCAATGGTAATTTTTTAGTCTTTTAGTTTTTTAGTCTTGAAGAAAGCAGAACCAAAATTACAGTTTAATTGTTTTACCATAATAATGGTTTTGTTATTATTTATTGTATGTTGATTGTAATTTGTCTATATATCTATGCTCTGATTCTTTTTAGGCCAACCAAAAGGTAATGATGGTGAACAAATAGAAGCTGATCTAAGGTTGGCAAGGAGGTTGGAGGAAGTGTTCAATGAAGACCTCGAAATCTTGAATACCACCTTTTCAAGAACACCAACAAGCTTGGCCCAAGAACTTGCAGTGGCTGGTTTAAAATCCGAATTGTCAAAATCTGTTGATCTTTATGTGCAGCATTAAGGTTTTAAGCAACATTTTTGAAGAGATAAAGGGCCAAAAGTTTGAAACAACCAAATTTGGAGAACTGCGGCAGACGCAGGTGGTGCTACAAGGGAGGTGTTTTCAATTGCATTCCAACAAGCAATTGATTCCAGGATTACCAGAGATGCATTTCCAACAATGACGTTCATGCATGATCAGTCAGCTTTAGCTGCAGGCAAGTATAAAATGTTTGGCCAACTTGTATTCATTTCGTTCTTGGCACTCCTGATGAGCAAGATGTTGCAAGCCTCATTGAGCAGCTGCCCTTGGAAAATCACGACATAAAGAAGAAACTGGAGGCCCTAAATAGCTGCAATGACCCAAAACAATGGAATGAAGCTATGTCAAACTTTGATGAACGTTTTGACATGGGAATAAATTCAGCCACAGTTCCATTTGAGAAGAAAGAAGTAATTTTAAAGGCTGCTGTTAAGCACATCATGCTGAGTTCCGTAACAGAAGAAATTTATAGCTTTCAAGAGGGCTTGTCATGATTTAATGTACTGGGCATAATGAAGAAGTACCCTGAGCAAGCATTCAAGGAACTTGCTCATGTGGAAATTAAAGAAGAGGATGTCTGAAAGCCTTTCACACCTATATTTTCGGTAAAAGGATCCACAAAGAGAGCTAGTGAGTTGATAGCTTATAATTTTAACCAGTTTCTCAAAAAAGTTTGTCAAGGTGCAATTACCCGCACTGTGCTTGATCTAGATGGAATTCTTGGCACTACGTCCTCTTCAAATGAAATTGTTCTAACCCTCAGCCTTAATGATGTGATGTAATTCATTACTGGGTCCTGTTATGTTCCACCTGGCTGAATTGAGGGGTCATTGACCTGTTTGTTCATGACACCTTGCATGGAGCCAAAGCCAACACTTGTGGGAATACAGTTACCTTTCCTGTGAACAAATAATACAGCTCCGAGAATTCCTCTGAGTTCACACCCAACTTTGCAGATGATATTTTCGATGGGCCAGCTTATGGTTGCGTTTAACCTCTGGCTAGTAGAACATTGTTAAAATTCTATTTGAGTTTTTTGACATTGTAAGAATCGGACATGCCTTGGACTGTGATTGTTTTATGCACATATTATGAGCATATGGACGGTACTATTTTATAAAGTTGTTAATGCACTGTTCTGTTTTACTGTCTGAATACATACATTATTTCAATCAGCTGCAAACATCAGGTTTTCCCAACATGTTATCATAGCAACATAACCATATTGAAGTGTATACCACCTGAACAAGTATTAATATAATTTCTATTACATTGTATTGAGATCATACAAACTATTTTTATAATCATTTGTAGTTTTTGGTATATAATAAAGATTCCTGTGGGCTTGCTATTACAGTATTTGTAATCCATCAAAATCAGAACACTTAAACATACTGAAATTATAGCCATATGCACTTGAACAGTAGGATAGAAGAAATGTGAAATACAGAAGGGGGAGGTGAGTGCCTGGTTATGTGGAAACTGCAAGTCTCACAATACTCAATCAAAAAGAATGTGTACTATTGAAATTTCATTATTTTGATCCACTTCATGATGCAGACTGTGAGGCTCATTGGTGACGTTTTTCTGTTACAAATAGGCATACTTGTATGTATGTATTGATGCCAAATGAATCATCATCTTGAAGTGGGTTGATCTTGTCTTTTAACTCCACTAATTCACTGTCAGAAATGGGTTGATTACATCTTCTTCATCAACTTCAAATTGATTTTGAATCCTTGGTGCTGCTAAGTCATTGCTTGCAGAAATGTTCAACAAGTCACTTATCCAAAGCTGGTTTGGTGCACGGTTTTATGCTGTTCGTATGGAATGACGATTCCATCCATTGACAAAGTGACCAAGATGTTTGTTTATTCTTTCAATAAAATACATAGTGCAAACAGAACATATGTACTGCATCACTTGCATCTAAGTAACCTGCTTCTTCCATATAGAAGAATACAGAGTAATAAATATAAAGACAACCAACAAAAAGATCCCTCCACAATCGTTCTATCCTTTGGTTGTGAACATTCCCTCTTCCTGGGCCGCTAGCTGGATGGTTGAACATGTATTGTGCCACCTTCACGTTTTCTGTCCCTTGAACTGCACAGACACTGGAAGAAACTGGAAAACAAAGTTCAAAGTATCGATCAAAAAATAGAAAAACAAGAGCATTTTCTCTCAGAAAAGAGGATTGATCTTGAAGGAGAAAAAGATGCACTCAACAAACGGTTGGATAATCTAAAAATACTAAGAATGAAATCATGAAAGAGCGGGCAGAAGAGTGAAACAAGCCAGGAAACAAATTGCCAATCAGCTTTTGAATTCATGTGGAATTAAAAGATGAAAACTTGGTGCAGGTCCGCCCTCCTTACTGTATGAAGAAGATGAAGAATTTATTGCAAAGGCAATTGAAAGTAAAAGTACATGCCATGGGCGGCGTCATGAAACAACACTCTTCACACATCACAGAGTGAAAAAGAGGCACTTTCACTTGCACATCACTCTTTATTAAAAAGAGGCAAGAAACTAATCAAAACTGCTACAACAGTGACTAATAGAGGGAAACCAAGAAATGTTAAATCAGTGGCCACAAAGGCTCATCGTGGAAAGTGGCTATGGTGTGCGAAAAAGCCTCCTAAGACTGAAGAAAATGAGACTGTGTCAACACATCACCAGTGTGCACATATCCGAAATGCAAAGTTCAGCATGTTTGCTCAAGAGCAAGAGAAACATAATGTTGTAATAAGTATGGATGACAAAGCATACCTATGACCTGGTACTGATGTTGGTGCAAGGGATACAAAAGCTGGTGTTGTGTATGATGTTGCTGATCCTATTAAAAGACGAAAACTACCCCAGCGTGATTTCAATCAACCACAACTGAATCAAACACCAGCATCATTCTGTTTCATTAAAGGACATGTATATACCATGCCCACTATAAGACCAGTATATTGCGTTTTTTTGTCTTATTACTCGTAATTGCGTAATAAGTGTACAAGTTGCACGGGCAGGTTGGACAGGTAAAAACGATGAAAAGTTTATCATAATTGCAAAATTTATGCAATGCGTATGTTATACTCCTGGCGAATTATGCACACATAAGCAAAGCAACAAGGTAATAGGGTAATAAGGTAATAAGCATGCAGGGGAATAAGCACACATAAGCAAGCAATAAGGTAATCGGGTAGTAAGGTAATAAGCATGCAGGGGAATAAGCACACATAAGTAAGCAATGAGGTAATAAGCTAATAAGCATGCAGGGAATAAGCACACATAAGCCAAGCAACAAGGTAGGTAATAAGGTAATAAGCATGCAGGGGAGTAAGGACACATAAGCAAGCAATAAAGTAATAGGGTAATAAGGTAATAAGCATAGAGGGGAGTATAAGGACACATAAGCAAGCAATAAGGTAATAGGGTAATAAGGTAATAAGCATGCAGGGGAGTAAGCACACATAAGCAAAGCAACAAGGCAATAGGGTAATAAGCATGTAGGGGAGTAAGCACACATAAGCAAGCAATAAGGTAATAGGGTAATAAGGTAATAAGCATGCAGTGGAATAAGCACACATAAGCAAGCAATAAGGTAACAAGGTAATAAGCACGCAGGGGAGTAAGCACACATAAGCAAGCAATAAGGTAACAGGGTAATAAGGTAATAAGCATGCAGGGGAATAAGCACACATAAGCAAGCAATAAGGTAACAAGGTAATAAGGTAATAAGCATGCAGTGGAATAAGCACACATAAGCAAGCAATAAGGTAACAAGGTAATAAGGTAATAAACATGCAGGGGAATAAGCACACATAAGCAAGCAATAAGGTAATAGGGTAATAAGCATGCAGTGGAATAAGCACACATAAGCAAGCAATAAGGTAACAAGGTAATAAGGTAATAAGCATGCAGGGGAGTAAGCACGCATAAGCTGGGCTCTATTAGTAAAATGCGGAATGCCGGACTAGGACCCCAAATTCACGCCAAAATTTGACCAAAATGGGACAAAATGGCAGCGAGCTTTAAAATCCCAACAAGTATGAAAGGAAAGGCAAAAAAGGATCCGGGGGTTGCCAAAGTTTGATTGGAAACCTTTCGAAAAAGAAAAGTGTTTGAGTTGCGGTACGTTGGGATCCGTATACCTAGGAAAATACAAAGGAAAACCAGAAAAAGTGGTTAGCAAAAAGATAATGTCTAATCGATTGACTCGAAATCCAAATGGCCACAGGAACATAATCCGGTTCCCTTGAATTTTGTAAAGAACCACTCAGTAATGATGCATGGAGCTATTCTTGCTTCGATTTTTGCCCGTTTGGAGTTGCAAAAAGCCTTTGCACTCTAGAAGATTTTGTCCATTTTGTAGACGACGAGTTTGACTTTGCCTCCTTCGCAGACTTGCTGCCAACATGTGCCAAAGATGTTGTCGAAGGTTTGAAATATTGGCACAGCAAGAATATCGCTGGCACCAGGATCTGAAACCAGGAAACATATTAGTTTTAAATCGACACTACAGCAGCACATCCCTTTAATGAAGATGAGTTTGTTGAAGCTTATGGTGAATGCCCTGTTGTTTGTAAACTGGCTGCATGCATGACTTTGGCTTAAGCCGGTCTCTCGACTTACAAACCAAGTCATTTTTTATGTTAATGAAATCACTGTTTTGGCTTCTCCAAACTTTTCTCACCTTGCATTTTTTGGCTTGTATTCTTTGGCATAATGTATGTCATATATCACATACTTGAAAAAAGCATGCACTGAATGAAAATTAATTAGTGCAAGAGATTATCTTAATTCATAATATTTATTAAATTATAACGATATTCTTGCTGTGCAAATATTTCAAACCTTCGACAACATCTTTGGAACATGTTGGCAGCAAGTCTGCGAAGGAGGCAATGTCAAAATCAAACTCGTCGTCTACGAAATGGACAAAATCTTCTAGAGTGCAAAGGCTTTTTGCAACTCCAAACGGGCAAAAATCAAAGCAAGAATAGTTCCATGCATCATTACTGAGTGGTTCTTTGCAAAATTCAAGGAACCAGATCATGTTCCTGTGGCCTTTTTCAGTGGTCAACAGTGCGGCTTCTTTCACGAAACGGAATGTCGAGTCAATGGACTCGACATTATTCTTTTGGTAACCACATTTTCTGGTTTTCCTTTGTATTTTCCTAGGTATACGGACCCAAACATACTGCAACCCAACTTCTTTTCTTTTTCGAAAGGTTTCCACTCAAACTTTGGCAAATCTGGTTACTCCTTTTGGCAACTCTGGTTGCCTTTCTTTTCAGACTTGTTGGGATTTTAAAACTCGCTGCCATTTTGTCCCATTTTAGTCAAATATGGGCACAAAATTGTGGTCATAGTCTGTGTTTTACTAATAGAATCCATTGAACATTTATTTAAACAGGGTAAAATCTTCAGCGTATGTACAGGTACTATTTACATGCATCCTACTTGACTAATTTTAATACTAAATACTATATATAAAAACACACCGATTTCCAAGATTGCCGTCTGGGAATCCCATTATGGTGGCGACAAAAATCGATTGATTTCATTTTTGAAATGCCTTAATCGCTTTCTGCCAGATCTCCCAGAAGTGTTTCAGAAACTAGAGCTGACAACATCATTTAAGTGGAGCCAGGGGCATATTTCCAAAGAACGTCTTCGAAATCTTTTTCGGATTTTGAACATAACGTTGGGTATCTTGCTTCTACTGTTACGTAAACTCGCAGATTTTCTTCATAATGGCATTATGAAGAAAATCTGCGATTATGGTGCCGTGCCGATCGCATATAGTCTAAAATTTACCACAAATTCAACATGACCTGCCTGACTATATCGTGCAGGAACGTGCTTGATTGCAATTGCTAGCGTCATTAATCCTTTTGTCGCTAGCTTAGTTGATAGTATAAATATCATGGGCTCCTCAACAATCTCGTTTTTTTCTTCGACCAATTGAGACATGCGACAAAACGTAGATTTTTGGCACTTCCAAAATTTGTGATGTTGTTGATATTTTCCCTCGCCTCGGCCTTTGATGCCAACCGGGCAAGGAATGCTTCTCGCGAAAACATGACCAAACCACGTCGTCGCTTCGATATTTCTTTTAAAATTATATTTCTTTTAAAATTATATTTCAACCTGTGCTTTGCCTTTGAACTCATCAACTCGAAAGATGTGCATTATTAAGTGTGTTCGGAATACATCACTAACACTATCCAATTTCGGTCCAAAATATTCTTACAGGCAGTGTCATATTACTCATCGCAGTGGATTATGATATCGCCATGAGGCCCGAATCAATTCTTTCTTTATAATAATATCGCAGTAATGGTAATGGCATCATAAACAACATCTTATTATTAAACGCCGAGATTGCGCACTTGGTCGATTCATAATCAAGACAGGCAACAATTTCACGTCTATCTGAAACTAGTTGATAGCGAAGATTAAGAATTATACAATATGTGGGCTTGGGCGCATGAATACATATATACTATACTTAACATTATTGAAGTAAATTTTATAGCAGGTGCAGGTATAAGTACAGCATTGACATCAATGCTTATTAACAGTTATAACTTTCATACGTCCATAGATCATACCTATATACCGAATGCTTAGTATTATATTAACCTTTGTATAGGATCGTCCATATGTTTACTCTCAGACCTATTTCCAGTGGTCTATATTCTTTTTGTTAATCCATATCTCGGATTTCTCACGTAGATTGATATGTTTTCAGACTTTGTTTTGTACTATTCCATTGCTTAACACCCTATTACCTTGGTCACTTTGCCTACATAGCTAGTATCAATGCTTATTACCCTATTACGCTTAATAAGAGCAAAACTGCATAACTAACGGTCTTAAAACAGGCATCATTTGGACATGTAGAGGAAATTGAGGCAAGAACAATTTGATAAATGACAAAGACCAGACTGTTGTAATTATTTGACCAAAATACTACATTGGGAGTTCTGGTATCTCTGGTATTATCTCAAATTATGCCACGAACATCCATCACTATTTCAAGAGTCTGGATTGAATCCATGCACCAATGAGTTAAACAAATGTCTGTCATATTCATGATATCCTGTTCTATTTTGTGGATCTCACAATGCAGGAAGATGTGTAAAATGCAACCACAAAACCTCAATGTCAGCATAGGCAATATGGTGCAACAAAGTCAAGATACAGTCCTTGAGATGGAAGGAATTCTACTAGATTCTTCAAGAAAAATGGAAAATGAACTTGAAAACGATATTCATGGAATTCAAGACAAAGCACAGTTTTGTAAACAGAATTGCTGTGAGTTATCAGAACGAAAGAACTTTGGGGGAAACTCAAAAACATTTCAAACAACTGTTCAGAGATCCTTCTTCGAATTGAAAGGTTGCAGCTTCCGCCAATGTGTTGTGATGTGCTCAAAGCCACTGATGCGGGACCAGGAGTTGGAGTGTCAAATATAGAAATCCCCTTCAGAAATGTTGAAACAGCAAGAATGCACTCCTCGGATCGTGTAAATCGTATTCACCGGGCCCCTGGAGACTCTGGACAGAATGAAGCCGAGAGATCAAATGCAGCAATTGGAGATGCTTTGGTGGATGGAGGGTCACTAAAATGGCAGTATTATGGGCCTTTTGATGACCTTGCTGAGGACGAAGTTGATAAACTTTCAATTTCAGAAGTCAAGAAAAGGGAGGAGGAATGCTTGGAGAGTATCTGATGAAATCAAGCAAGTCATTGATGATGAACCAGGTCGTGCTGGCAATTGCATGAAATGCTCTGTCACCACTAGTAAAGAAATGCAGTTCTTTTTCAATTCAGCATACCTGATGAAATATTCCACTGTCAAGTCAGAAGTGAGGAGGAAATCAATCCCTGGAAATGCCTACTTCAGCAAAATCAATGCTTTCATGGTTGCTCATTGTGACATTGGTGAAATGAATATTTTGAGTATTTGAAAGAGTCTTGTGAAGCGAAAAGTGGCAAAAGACGCGATTATTGTATTTCTCATGACTTTTGCTTCTCTTCCATTACTTGTGTTGCAAGGCCTTATCCTGGCTTCCATTACCTCGCTGCAAAAGATACCCCCTACTGCTGAAATAAGTGTTGATGGCTAATCATCCAAGAGCTACAGTGACTATGATTGGAGCAAAATGTTTCATGATGGTTGCCTTGCAAAGCTAAGAGTTACTGTGCTGGACAAATACCTAAATTATATATCATAATTTCAGAAGATTTCCCAATAAAAAGACGAAGTTGGAGGCCATCAACCTACATTTAGCTCAGCAAGTGTATGAGCATGTGGATGAAGATGACCAAGACAATGAGAGTGAAGATCAGACAGATGAAAGTGTGACACAGACAAAGAACATATTCTTGAAGATATTGGGTTGTCATGTTCTGATGATGATTATGATAATGTTGAGGGTGGTGATATCCTAGATGGTCCACAAACATCACACATTTACACTAAATTGGGGAGGAAGGCAACACAATTACCATAAAAACGCTGGGGGGGGGGGTCGGAAAAAAGTGCATTGTTTTGGGGGAGGGTCAGAAAAAAATGAGGATGGTATATTTCATTTGCACCAGC